GAAAAATTCTAAAATGTCAACGGTTTGGACCATCAAAATTAGGCCTAAAAGTGAACCCAATGACCCATCAAGTAGGGAGTCAAGGAGAGGATCCTTGCTCGAGCCAGTGACCCAAATATCTTAAGTTAGAGCATCTCCAACGGTAAACTATTTTTTTGTCACAACTCAAACCCGTCCCTATAGATTTAGCGTCGTAACTGGCCAGTAATCTGTAATTACCAAAGGCTGTTTAACAATAATGACAATAATACAATATAAAGGGGCTAGCGGAAGCCAATAAATAATAATATACATCGTACAATGAGTTGTGAGGACCTGAATGGAAATGAACTTTCATATACATAGTTATACTCACAAACACTTATGTCCATAAAGCTCATATATAGAAGACAAAACACAATGTAGGAAATTAAATCCCATTATTGAAAACAGTATTAACAAAATTCATAAAACATTTGTTTCACTTGACCAATATCAAAGGGGTGAATTTGAACCACCCAAAAAGCCTTGACACATGTTGGTTCAGAACCTCGTGGTGAGGCACAATAGTTGGCTTGACAAAATAAGGGTTCGGGTCGACACCACTAGCTTTGATCCGATACTCGATCACCTACATATATATAATAAACAGTGAGCTAGAGCCCCGTGAATAACATATGTGTAAAGAGATTAAGAATGATGTCCTTATGGTCTTTGAAACAATCGATTTCAATCAATATCTTTGTCAATCAATCGTTCAATCATTCGATTCAATCAATCACTTTCAATCATGTTTATATTCATATAGGTCATACGTGATACATCCAATAGCAACAATACAATACAATAGATCTTGAAGACTGAACAATCAATTGATGGCCATCATACAATAACAATAGTGATATCAATAACAATAGCAATAACAATAACAATACGCTTTGGATGCCACGAATACAATTCAAAAGAGGATCATCATTCAATCGATAAACAGTAACCATTTAGAAACAATATGATTTATCATTTAGAAAATAAATACAATATGAACATATCTTTATAACATTGTTCTCACAGTGGGCTCCTCGGTACACATACTATTGGTTCGGCGTCCGACTTAGGCAAATAAAGTCAAGCACAACACAATTACAATTACACTCTTACAATTCTATTCAATTCGATTGTTCAATCTCTATTCGTTTTCTCTCATTTGATTCTTTTTTTTTCATTCGGTTATTCCTATTTATTTTTCTTCCATTCCTTTTTAAATATGTATGACTAGTATTAGGAATAAACTAGATTATTAACCTCTAATTAAAATATGTTTAGCTATGTATTAACCAAACTAATTAAATATAAATAATCAAATCATATATCAACCCTTATTAAGTTCACTAATTACACAATCAAACTTAAATTATGCTCATACACATTAAATTACAATTATTCAGTCATGTTTAAATTACTGAATCAGAAACTCATAAATATGTACATTTTGCAATTTCAACTCCATTTTCAAGCAAATCAAGGCCCAAATAATTAATCTTCACATTTATTTCTATAATCTTAAGCCTAACTCAATTTCAATTGAATTTAATTAATTCTTAATTAAGGCTTAATTTGACTACATCTAATTTTACAAACCAAAATCACATTTGTAATTGAATTCTTATAAGGCTCTAAATATCAAACTCAACTCATTAATCCATTTTTGAAACTCAATTTCCATGCAAAATAAATCAAACTCTTGAATTCAAATATAATCCCATAACTTTACATTCTTGAGTTCAAATCCTCTATTTAAAACTTAGTTACATGAAATCTCTATTTTCATGAACCCAAACTTAATTCATGTTTAAGCTCTTCTCAAACTCCATGAATCATGGTTAAAAACAAGTTTAGAACCCAAGTTCTCTTAAGAATATGCCATGCATGTAAGGATTATGAGTTAAATTGATCAATTCTTCAATTTGTTTTAACATGCATGCCCTAAGTTCTCAATTACATGAGCAAATCTCCTAGTTGAGGACAAATTCAATTCATTTAAACTTATATCTTGGAAGATGATGTGTAATAGAGCTTCAATATCAAGAATTGGGAATGATTTCTTACCTTAATTGATGCTTTAAGACCAAAATTTCAGCTTTTCTTAAGGTTCCTCTTCCTCTTTTTCAATTTCTCTTCTATGAGCTTAAGCTTCAACTTACTCTTCCCCTCATTCTCTCTTTACGTGGTCTGTTCGGTGGGTACAAAGATGATTAACGTAGACAACCAAGCACTCTCTCTCTTAGTCTATGTTTATGAGATGAATAGAAATATAATTTATTATTTAGTTTTCAATTAGTTTGTTAAATTGTGGTTCCAATTAAATTAGATAAATATAAATAAATAATTAAAAAAAGAAACACTCATTTCTACCCAAATAAATTAATCCTCTACATTAAATAATCTCAATTATACTAATGTAAACTAGGCTTTAATTCCTATCTAATGATTTAATTCTAACTTGTTAAAATTAGCAAATCAAACAGGTTTAATTTTCATTCTAACCTATCTGTTTAAACAATACAAGTCAATAAATTTCATAAAAATCAATAACACTTAATCACATAATTAACATGTAGGAACATCATTAATAGTTCCACTTAAGGCTTAATTCAATCACAGACAATTTCAGTAAACTGAATCAATTTTCAATTAAATTTCCCAAATGGCTCTAAAAATTCCCATAAACCCATCCATGTACTCAATTTCAATTTGTGCACCCAAAAAGATTGTTGATTTTAGTTTCAAAGTTGTAACCTTAATAGGTAATTTTCTAATTTGGATAGATATGCACAAATTAAATTACTAGGAACTTAATTCAATTAGAATTAACACATAATTAATTAATTAAAATCACGATTAGCAAGTCTGGGTCGTCACATTTTTTCATTAAATTTGATGAAAAAAAAGGCTCTTTCTTCGATTTTATACGAGTTGCTCTAATGGTGAACACTGATGCTTGTATCAAATGCCTGGGGACGTTTAGTGGGATGATCGGCCGGACGACCGGCCCGTGACCGGTTACGCCACTGATTTTTTTTCCCGCCCCTCTATTTTTGTTTCGATTTTGTTTCCCTTCATTTTTGTTTCCTCAATTCAAACAAGAATTCTTTAGAATATCCACAGTAAGAATTCTTCAGAATACGTATATATACAAATTATATATTTTTACATAATTTAATTGTTAGTCAAGAAGATTGGAAGATTGGGAAATTGAAAAAGATTGAACAACTGTTAGTCAATAATACGTATATATACTATTTGTGTCAATTTCTGACCACACTGCCAAACAGGTACTCAGCTGGAGAACACCGACAGAATGGATTAAGCCCGAACGACCTGTCACAGAAAGATAAGATTCCGGCGGTGGTTCGTCTACCCGGGGGCACTCCAATGATCAAATCCGTTATCTCTCAAAGATAGCAAAAGTGCTTAACTCACTATTTAGAATACAAAAAGTGTACCTTAGACCCACGAGGGTGCCTCTCTTTTATAGCCAACACTGACCTAATCCCAATAGAAGCCCAGCTTCAAGGGACTCTGGCTCAATGCTAATCCTAGATTCCCAGTTGGATTGGGATAAACCCTCTAAGAGTCTTATCTTTAGCTAAACTGAAGTTCTCTCTCATCCTAGGACTCTTGTCCCTTATTCTCTTATCCCGGATTTCGGTATCTCCGCAGATAACCTCGACCTAGCCGAGATTACCTCGGCGCCAAGTCAAGGACACGTGGCACCTTGGCTGGCACTTTGGTGCCACCTCGGCCACGTGTTCATTATTCAAAAATTATGTCCCCACAACTGCCCCCTAGGTTCTATTACCTCGGCATCCTGAGGTGATGGAACCAATATCGTTTCTTCCATTTAGCGCGTCGACTAAGCTTGCTTCGTCCTTCATTATCGAGGTCATCATTCGTCAACTCAGTATGACCAAGACTTAGTCTATTTTCATTAATGCCTTTAGAACCAATAATCAAGTTTGTTCAAGTTTCTCAGCTGAGACCGTCTCCCTAGCCGAGGTCCTGCTCCATTAAATCAAGAACTCCAAGAGTTTCAACACGTGTATGAGCTGTCACGCACAGTATTTTAACCATTTTTGCCACGCGTCTTTCCCTTACTGAGCCGTGCCTGACACGCGCCATTAAGTCGCATCGTATTTGCGTGCGCTGTCTGACAAATACGTCGTCCTAGGCACACTAATTGCCATTTTGCCGCCATTCTGCGTGTTTGATCAAAATCATCTCTCTCTCTCCGTCTTTTTACTTTTGCATCTTCGTTTTCGTTCAAGTTCTCTCTCTACTCCCAAATCCTTAATTGCTGCTTTCACGAAGCTCTATGCAACCACTTTCATTCTCCCCCTCCAGTGAGGCTTCTGCTGCATTTCTTTGCTCACTGCCACCGTCTGACACGGGCATACTTCACACCGGCCATTTTTTTCGGTAAGCGACTGTTCCTCTTATTTCAATTTCTTGTTTCGCTTTAAACTGCTATGCTTGTACACTGTCATGGTGTTTTTATTCATGCTCTTAATTTGTTACTTGTGTGTTGATTTCCACCATTCGTCATCTGTTTCACGATTCTACTCTTGCACAATCTGTTGCTGGTATACACACACACACATATTGTTCATATACTTGACATTCTTGCTTGGTGTTCTTGATAGCTTAACACTGTTCTTGACTTGTGCAAATTTATATTTTATGCAATGTTCTTGAACCCCTTCTGGTTTTCTTGAGTCTGAATCTCTATTCTTCTCTGTTTTCTTGTGTCTTTTTCCAGATTCTTACCCTCAATCCTTGTTTCCGTAGCCTTAGGTTTGGGACTTGTTCTAGGACTTAAACACTTTAGGAAAAAATTGAAACAAATTCCCTTTAGAACTTCAAAAACCCTTGCCCCAGCATTCGTTTAGGTTTCGCCGAGATCCTTTAAACCTTAACAAACCACTTCCTTTTACAATCCAACATTTTCTTTTTAAGCCGACGTCATGGGTATGTGGAGGTGGAAGGTAGACACCCCACTTAAGCTAGAATATTTCAAGCAGGAGTTCGTCATCCCTGCCGATGTTCACTTTAGGTTGGCTGGGGAGGAGGACTCCATCATGCCCAAAGACGATTCTATGCCTTTTCCAGTCATAGCTTTCGTAGAGTGTGGACTTAGGCTCCCTCCCGATATTCTTTTCCTAGAATTCCTTCACTATTATAAACTCAACCCAATGCAATTAGCTATTATCTCTTACAGAGTCATTAACGGTATTATCACCTTAGCCAGCCGAGAAAATGCTAGGGTAATCTAGCTGACATCCAGTACTGCTACACCATGTGTGGCCTTAAGTCAGAAAAAGGCTACATTTACTACCTTAAGCCGAGGTCCACACAATACAAACTTATTGCCGACCTCCTCGATTCCAACAAGGGCACCGGGGACGATTACTTCATCATCTCAGGCAATTGGGAGTTCTTTCCAGATGATGACCTTCACCTCTACCCTCTAAGTCGTACATTGTTCAGAGAGGGAGATGGTAAGAGCCAATTGTTTACTTTTACTTGCTTCTCAAGTCTGTTTTACTTTGATATATTTTTATATGTTCTAACGTCTATATGTTTTACTTTTGCAGTTCTTCCTCAGCCTCAAAAGGACTTCTGCAAAAACTTCTATCCCAGTAAGGATTTTAAGAAGCTACTCAACTTGCCTATCAATCAACACAAGGCTCCTCTGCTCCTGAACTATATCCCGACTTACAAATCCGTCTTGCCCGACATCCCGAAAAAGAGCAAGTCTCCTCCCTCAGCAACAACTCCTACTACAACTTCATCGCCTCGGCCAGATCAGGGATCAACATTTGGTCCTATGGAACAGCCATCAACCTCGGCTCCACAAATAATCCTACCTTCTCAACACAAACGCCGACGCCGAACCGCAGCTACCGTTGAGATGGGTCATAAGAAGGCTGTAGTAGATGACCTTCTAGCCAACATCCCCAACATTGTCACCGTACAACCTTCACCATCCCAGTCTCAACCAAAGCCAAAGCCGAAGCCAAAAAGACTGAAGAAAGCCCAACCCAAGGCAACGATAACTCAGATCGACTCTGAGGATACCTTGTCGATCTCTAAAATTGCTAAGGTGGAAAAAAGTGCCTCCACCGCCGAAAAGCGGCCCGCCGAGGCTGCTCCATCTGAATCAACCCGGTCAAAGAAACCGAGGTCAGAGTCTACGAAAACCTTAGGGTCCATGAAATCTGATGCCCCCTGGGCCCCTCTAATTACTATTAAGGACAAGCTAGTCAAGGTCGGCGATAGCGCAACTGACCTTGAAGTCGGCGTCGCATTCTCTACTGCCTTGTTCCTTCCAAAAGACCTCGAATGCAACACCGAGGTCAGCGAATACGAAAACTCTGCTCTAATGTTGCAGCACTCCGTTCAAGTAAGCCCCTAACACTTGGTACTTTTCATTCTTTGTTTTTCCATATTTAGAGAATTTCACTAACTTTTGTTTTGCCCATTTCTTCTAGGCAATCCAGCACGCTTACTCCTTCGCGATGCAAGCTTTTGACATCAAGAAGGAGTTGGTCAACAAGACCAAGGAGGCTGATAGTTTGCTGAAGACAGTCAACAAAGCCGAGGCCAAGATGAAGACACTGATGGATCAGGCCAAGGCAGCAAAAAAAGCCCAAGACGAGGCCGATGAGAGGGCCGGCGCTGCTAAGGCCATTGCTAAGGTTCTTGAAGCTGAGAAAAAAGAGGCCGAAGCAAAGACCGCCGAAGCCCAAGCCGAGCTCATTGCTGCCTTGGCCGCAAAGGACGCCGAGATCAAGACGGCGGATGAGAAGGCGTATGCCGAGAGGGCAACCGACATCAAAGAAGACTACAAGAAACAAGTAAAGCAAGCATGCAACAAGGATTTCACCCTTGGTTGGATGGCTGCTCTAAAGGAGTTGGCTGTCCCCGAGGATTCTGCTCTCAAGAATGCTAGCAACCTCGTCCTGCCATTTCCTCCCTCTCCAAGCCAGTCCGAGGACGAGGTTGAGTCCGAAGAGGAAGCTGAGGTCGAAAAGTCCGAGAAGGCTATGGATGCTGGGGCCAAATCCCCAACTCTGAATGAGCAAGTCTTGGACTTGACTCAGGATAAGGCGGACGAGGTCTCAAAAGATGCCACCCCTGAGAAGAAAACATCTGACGCGCCTATCACCAAGAAGAGCATCGACCAGACTCTCTAAGAGATCGATGTCGAGCTCGCGGCTGAGAAGGCTGCCGAGAAGAGTTCTCAGATGTCTTCCGAGCCCCAAACCAATCCAGCTGATGATGCCGAATAGTTTAATCTTAAAGCTTTTTCTCTATACTTAGTACTTTTTTCTTTTTGAACAATGTTTAGCTCTTTATTTGGCCGATGTGCCTTTTTGTAATCTGAACAATTATTCTTCAATGTCAGGCTGAAGTACCTTATTTCCTTATCTGAATGCATTCTCTAATTTCTTCTTTCAATGTGATTATATGTTTGTATGCTTTACTGCTTCCATACTTAGAATATTTTACATGTCTTCAGTTTATGCCTTTCTTGTATAGTTTCCTCAGATTAACATACCTCGGACAAAACTTTCAATCTTGTTTATCTTGGCCTTGGCTTAACACTTGAACACATTGTAAAAAATATTTTCACAAGTGCTATATAAAACCTGCCGCTTTACTCTTACTTGGCAAGACTTCTATTTTCAAATATCTTCTAAGTCTTGGCAACATGGTAATCTCGGCAACTACGTAGATACTTTTTTCAACATAATCTTGGCTTAACTTCAACTTGTAAATTTTTTAAAATTTCAACAAGTGTTAAACCAACCTTTCTTTAGCGTTACCTCGGCTTAACTTCATCTTGTAAATTTTTCTTAAAATTTTAACAAGTGTTAAACCAGTCTTTAGCTTGTAAATTCCAACTCCCAAGCACCATTCTTCCAGCCATCTGCCCCCTAATGTGAACTTAAGTTCCACTTGGGTTCTCATTAAGCATGTGGTTTTGACCCCGTCGCCGATGTGAGATTCAAATAAAGACTGGCCAAGGTTACTAACCTTGGTTTCTCTGTTTAATCTATATACTTAGTTTCAATCTGTGTTTGACTTTGCCGATATGGCAAGTCCAGGTTGATTCAACTTAGTTCAACTCTATTATATGCATGTAGAAAAACTCTGCCATATAATAAGTCTAAGTTATTCGTCATGTTTCAATCAGAAACATCGCTAACTTAGTTCAACTCTATTATATGCAAGTATAATTCAACTCTGCCATATAATAAGTCTAAGTTATTCGTTATGTTTCAATCAGAAACATCGCTAAGTGACTAGTCAATCATACTACGCAAGTTTTAAAAATCAAGCTAAGACTTTATTATTACTTTGGCTAATAACAAGAAACTTGAAAAACAAAAAATCTAACGATAGAAAAACTTCAGATTGTAAGTATTCCAGGGTCTTGGCAACTCTTTGTCTTCACTGTCTTTAAGCCGATATACTCCATTGCCCAGGACCAAGATGGTTCTATAAGGTCCCTCCCAATTTGGGCCAAGCTTGCCCTCTCTGGGATCCTTCTTGTTGCCGACGACCTTTCTCAGGACGAGGTCCCTAACTTGGAACTCTCTTGGGTTGACCTTCTTATTATAAGCTTTAGCAAGCTGCTGCTGGTATGCCCCTAACTGAATTGCTACTTTCTCCCTTCTTTCTTCTAACAAATCCAGATCTCGGCCAAGAATGCCTCATTGGTCCCATTTTCTACTCCATGGGTTCTGATCCCTAGGATGCCGACCTCTAGTGGAATAACTGCTTCTGTGCTATAAGCCATGGCAAATGGGGACTCTCCAGTTGATCTTCTCGACGTAGTTCGATATACCCAGAGTACACTAGGTAACTCATCTACCCATTTTCCTTTTGCTACTTCAAGCCTCTTCTTGATCCCATCCAAGATAACCTTATTGGATGCTTCTGCTTGACCATTACTCTGAGGGAAGCTTCTAGTGGAATAATAGTTCTTGATTTTGTACTTTGCACAGAAGCTCTTGATTAGGTTACTGTCAAACTGCGTTCCATTGTTTGCTATTATTGCTCTTGGGATCCCAAACCTGGTGATGATGTTCTTCCATATGAAGTTCTTCACATCAACATCTCGAATCTTTGCGAGGGGTTCAACTTCTACCCACTTGGTGAAGTAATCTGTTGCCACTAGCAGGTACTTCCTTTGTTTAGTTGCCTGAGGCAGCTGTCCAACAAGATCCATGCCCCATTGGGCAAACGGCCAAGGACTGGATACTGGGTTTAAATCTGCTGTTAGTTAGTGTATCAAAAGTGCAAACCTCTGGCACTTCTCACACTTTCTGACATAGGCTTCAGCATCTTTCTGCATATAGGGCCACCAGTACCCCTGAGTAATAGCCCTATGAGCAACTGACTTGCTCTCTGTGTGGCTTCCACATACTCATTCATATATCTCATACAGGAAGTCTTCAACTTGTGAAGGATGCACATACCTTAAAAGGGGTCCAGTAAAAGATTTTCTGTTAAGGTGCCCTTCTACCGTCAGACTGAATCTTGTCAACTTCAGTCTGATCTTGTGTGCTTCTTTATGATCATCTGGCAGTTTTCTTTCTTTAAGGAATACTATTATTGCATCCATCCAGCTTGGTCCCATCTCTACACACATTGCTTCATGCTCTGTGTTCAGTGGTTCTACACTTGGGCATGACAAGTAGTCAACTATTATTGTCCTTACTTCTCCTGGTTTCATTGCGCTAACCAGGTTGGCCAAGGCATCAGCATAGATGTTGTCATCTTGGCTAACCTGCTTTAGTCGGCAATTCTGGAATAAAGCTACCAATCTGCCCACCTCCTTTACATAGGCCGACATCCTTTTATCTCGAGCTGCGTATTCGCCTGTTGCCTGGTTGACGATAAGCTGGGAGTCATAGAAGACTATTACCTCATCAACTTCCATTGCTACTGCTAGCTTTAATCCTGCGATCAGTGCTTCATACTTTGCTTCATTGTTTGAGGCTTTAAACCCCAAACGAATGGATTGTTCCAATATCTGCCCATCTGGTGATACTAGCTGTCACGACCCAAACCCGCCCCTATGGGTTTAGCACCGTAACCGGCCAATAATCTGAGATTACCGAAGGCCTGCTTAACAGTAATACAGTAAAACAGAGTACAGGGGCCTGGCAGAAGCCAATACAGTAAATAAATAATGTCCAATGAGCTGTGACAGTCTGTATACCAAAAAGACCTTCCATGCATATATATATATACACAGTGCAGAACACTATGTACACCATTTATAATCATTCAGATCAGGGACCTAATCCCTATTAAACAGTACAGTAACAGTCTATACAGTTAACAAAATAGTTACAGAGACAGACGGGGGAAAATTAAAACACCCCTAAGCCATAGCTAGACAGGCTCGGAACCTCGCAGTGAGGCACAGTGGTTGGCTTGACAAAACTGGAGCTTACCCCGACGCTTCTAGCCACGGTCTGGTGCCTGTACACCTACACATATATATGAGTAGCGAGGTAAAGCCCAGTGAATAACACAATGCGTAAAGAGGTTTAGAATGAATGTCCTTACAGTAATGAAAACAGTTCATTAAATCAGTATTTCAGTCGTTCAGTCAGTACAGTCATATGTGGTACATCCATTAGCATAACAGTACAGTAAACAGTAGGTCTTGAAAGACCGAACAGTTAATGATGGCCATCAATCAGTAAACAGTAGTGGTTCCAACAAGGAAATCGACAGAGATCTTTGTAACAGTATTAGTCAGTAACAGTAGTTGCTAAGGATGCCACAATACAGTTCAGAATAGAGGACATACATTCATTCTATTAACAGTATCAATTCAGAAACAGTATAGTTCAATTGTTCAGAAGATAATCATTTTTGAACATATCTATACACAGTTGTTACTCACAGAGTTCTAGGCTATAGTTAGGCTAGAGCGCGTCCCCAATCGCCAACCCTACAAAGTTTACAGATTGAACACACACTAAGCTATACAGTTGGAAAAGATAATAATTTAATTCCTAATTTGCCTCGGTGTGGTTCTACATCTATATCCTCATTAAGATGCCTTAAACTAGGCATAAGGATGCCTAGGATGAAATGAGGATGCAAAGGTGCACTTTAAAAGCATTTTCAGAAAAACAGGGTTCCCGCTCGAGCGTAGATTAATCTACTCGAGCGGACATGCAGACAAAGGCTTCCGCTCGAGCGTATACTCATCCGCTCGAGCGTACTTCAAAACAGTCAAAAGTGCTGGATAGGTGAAAATCACGCTCGATTGGGTGCTCGACATCCGCTCGAGCGTAAGACACAAGACCCCGCTCGAGCGTCAATTCTTCCGCTCGAGCGGACATCAAAACAGTGTAAAGTGCTAGGAGCACGAATTTCACGCTCGAGCACTAGTCACCCCGCTCGAGCGCCAGTCACCCCGTTCGAGCGTGAGTTCAAAATCTGGAATTTCCAGATTTGAATCTCAAGCTCAAAACCAAGTTTTAATGCATCAAAACCAATCCCCTTGGACTAGTTTTCCAGAAAACTCCTCAAAACTCATAGTTTAACATGATTCAAAGCTCAATTGTAAAAATCAAAGCCCAAAGGTAGTTCAAATAAATCCAATTTCAAACCAATGTTCATGAATAAGATGAACATGCAACATGTATGAAGTTAAACAGCTTACAAGCCTCAAATACATGCTCTATTGAGCTAATATCTTCAAAGACAAGATGAATTCATGGACTTAACATAACTATGAGCATGCATGTGACAATTTTCCATGGAATCAACTCAAAATTCAATAATATAGGCATGCATGCATGAATTCAGCTATAATTCGACATGTTAGAACTAAATCATGACTTGGCTCCTCAATTAGACATGAACCATGCATGAACCAACTTAAGGACACAATTAAGAAGTTGAATTCCTTACCTAGATCTTCAATTACAAGTGTAGAAGTTCAATTAGGCAAATCTCCTACAATCTCTTCAAGTCTATCAAGCCAATTCTCTAGAACAATTCAATTCTCTTCCTCACTCTTTCTTGGTCGGGTAGAACTCTCAAAATGGCTGAAGAAAATGTTTGTCTAAGTGTATACAAGGCTCAATATGTTGAGGTAGTGGGCCACCAAGGATGGCAAGTTGATAAATACAAGCACTTTGTAATACAATGTTGTTTA